GAGCTTAGCAGCATAGAGTCACCATTCGGTTCCTCCTTCGGGTAATAAGCAGGTCACGCACAGAAAACCATCAGGGATTTCCCCACTGTCTCGTGCTAGCAACTAGATTCATGTTGGCAGCGATCGGTGTGACCGCCGGTCAGGCGATTGGGGGAAGCAAAGCCGTGCTGGGCAGCAAGCGGCACACGGTACCAGCCGTGTTATTTGCAGGTGGGTTGCAAAGCCTTTGGGCCCCTGCTGCTGTGGAGGCCAGCAGATCAGAGCACGTCATCTTTAAGCAACAGGGGCAAAATTCACAAGGGACCCTTCACCCCCACAATGTGTAAGGGACTGATTCTCCCTAACTTGGTACAAGCCTAACTCACTTGGGCCAACATCTCAGCTGGTGTAAAACAGTGGAGCCAATGACTGAGGTTTGCTCAGGGGCTGGCCTAGTGACTTCAAAAAGGTTACTCCCACGAGAACCTCATGCAGTAACACCAGCACTTTGCTGTGGTCCAAGGATCCCCAACTGGCATCCAGAGGTTAAGGACGAGTATCCCTGCTTTACCCGTGAGGCACGGAGAGGTGAAAGGACCTGCCAAGGTCGCCTAGCAAATCCAGATGAGAGATGGGGAAAGAATCCCCTTCTCCTGGCATGGGATCCCCTTCTCGCTTCATGCACACAGACTGCAAGGCCTTGTTACAGATGCTGTTTCTGACATGAGTGCAGGAGTCTGCTGTCGACCTCGACCCTATGTACTGGATGAAGCAAGAAAGTTGCAAGAACACCAAGGTGAGGATAAGAAAAAGCCAGGAAGGCTCCTGTAGGGGATGGGGTCTGATCTCCCCTGAAAGGATAAGAAATCAGCACTTCATGCACAATTGTCTTACGATTCCTTCTGCAGCCACCTCTGGGGACAAGAAGGTACCTATGCTTTTCCACAGTCTGGGGCAGGCAGTGACAGAGAAGAGGGCTGCCTGTGGAAATGGCCGGAGGCTTTAAGAAGGTGGACTGTGATAAAAGGCCTATGGCCCAGGGGACTCCATCCAGCCTCAAGTTCTCATGTCGTTATCACAAGGGAGTTTTGCTGAGTTCCTTCCCCCCTTGCAAAAAAATACCATGGATCCCTTGCAGATCAGGCTCTCTGCTTACGCTCTTCCAAATGGGACTGCTCCAGCCTGCTTCCACGGCGACCCACAAAGATGAGCACCATCTCCTGAACCATCAGTGCAACCTCCAAGTGGTCTACGGGTCTCCCCAACCCTGGCTGGAGTGGATCGCAGCTCGAGGAGGGGATGCAGCTGCAGGACACATAGCAGTGATGCATCATCAGAGCAGACTGCAGGCCCCCCTCCTTTCAGATGAAAAGTCTTCCCAAGCTCCCCTTATCCTCAAGGAGGTCTGTGGCCCCTAAAGCTATAGATTGAGCCCAAGGCTTTTTGGTGGAAGTGCTGGATGGGATGAGGGGGCTGGAGTCATGGATCTGCTGGTGTTTAAGGGAAACACCCGACGGAGTTCAGACACATTTGGGTCATGGCATCATTTAAAGCACATGTGGGAGAAGCAGGGAGCCACTGGGACCCAGGTGACTAGCCCACCTGAAACACAGAGCTGGTTGAGGTTTGACATCCTCGGGGCCACCTGGCTCCTGCCACAGCCCTCGTGATACCTGAACACTGCTGGATTTTGGGCTGGTCTCGCTTCAGGTACTTCGGTGGTATCTTCATGCACGCGCCCCCCATCACGTGTGTAAACCTGCCTGCATGTTGAAAGGATCTGAGATGCAATGATCCATGGGACAGGTGTGCACTGAGAGGGCTTTCTACAGGTGGACTGGTGGCTGCCCTGCTCTGACACCTGGTCGGGGTGCCCTAGACTCGGGAGACCGAGTTTACTGTAGAGGTCAACACAGATCCAAGTGAGCTCTGCGGTGCATGCCACATGTGACAACCCCTTAAAATAAGGGGGTGGCATCCATGTCAGTGGGAACATACCTTTGATTTCACTCAGGCTGGAGCATCACCCAGAGTAATGGGAGATGGAAAAAGCTCCCAGGCCCCTGGGCCCAGCCTGCTCGGAGGGCGAGTACTACTCCCTGGGACTTCTCCTCTCTGCAGCATGGCCTGAAGAATCCCACGGCAAGCTGATCTGAACTCCTTTGAACGGACACGTGCAACTGCTTGGTGCTTGGCCCTGGTGCCCAAGGATCTCAAGGCCCTTTATGCACCAGCATGAGTTAGTCCTCACAACAGCCCTGTGAGGTTGAGGGTGGGAGGTCTAACAAGGTGGGGGAAACGAGGCACACAAAGGTGGAGTGACTCAAGGTCACCCAGATCTCCTGCTTCCAAGATGCAGCCTTCACCCTACCAGTGGGTGGACGTCCTTCAAGACCTGGACTCAGTCAAGGCCTCTGCGTTAAGATGCTGAATGCCTTGACCCCCGGATGACTTTGATGGGCACTGAGGGGCTTGACTTTGTGCAGCATCGGGCCTTGGGTGGATATGCAGGTGTCTGGTTCTTTGGCTGGCACACACTGGCCCAGCTCCCTTCCAGGCAAGGCAGCTACTTTGATTTACCTCAGCTGAGATACTGGCTTGGTGAGAGTAAAGGGGCTGAAGACAGAGCCCAGCCTCACATAGACCCAGAAATGCCTCCCAACTGGCCCTTCCATGGGGCTGCCACCCCCAGATTGCCAGGCCAATACAGTGCCCTGCAGCACACAGACTTGCATATACAACCCCACAACCTGGCACTAAAAGTGAGACCCAGTATGTCAGGCTGCCACGGCGGGGATGGGTGGTGGACGCCCCATTGGGATCACAATCAGAAGAGTCTGACTGCAAAACAGGCGTGGAGGAAATTAGACTTGCAATGCTAGGGAGAGCTCTTGGCTGTCACCATGTTCCCTGATGGAGCACTTCATGGGAAGCAAAGCCCTCGCTGACATTATCCTGGCTCCACAGATGGAAGTCACTACAGTGCTCACTCTTGCCCCTGATCATACTCCTGGGAGGTGGCCATATCCACTTCCTTCTAGTCACCAGAAACTGGTCTCCAGTGACACCAGTCAGCACTGGCTCTCTTCTCCCTGACTGCCATTGACTCAGGCGGAGCAGGATTTAAAGCTGGCTCCCAAGCCCACAAAATCAATGGAAATCTTCCCCAGAGTTTGGACCCAGGCCCTCACTCAGGAACTGAGTGCCCTTCTTGTTTGCCATGAACACTTTGCACCATCCCGCCCATGTACCGTGGTGCTCCGTTTCGCCTTGCGACCTTTACCATTGGGCAGCCAACCTCTGCTGGCCATTGGGACCATTGCCAGGAAGCCGATTCACCTGGATCCTGATGGACCAGCATGTTTTCTAAGCAGTGGAAACAGGGAAGCACCCATAAGATCCATTGCTGGTTCCCTAAGAGTGCCCGTAACGGGTTGGCTGGCCACAGGCCCCCATTTTCTACTATGACAGGACCACTGCTGTCCATCAGTGCTGTTGTTATGATGCTCTGATCGCTGCTGTCCCATGCCCAGTGGACAAAGTCAGCTGGAAAACAACAAGATGAGACTCACTGGACTAGCTGTGCCTTTCCCGGTGACCTGCCTGCTGAATCTGGAGCTCACCATAAAGGTCCCAGCTGGAGTTCAGTGCTTTACGGGGACCTGTGAGCTGTCACAGGGTGGTGGGACCTTGGACACAGGGAAATATAGAAAGTGAGCAGTCTCAAGCCCTCTCTCAGATGCCATTTGGATTCACCTTCTCAAGTCCTACGGTTTCTCTTTAGAGCATGGGCAGGCCACCACCTGGGAAAGCTCTCACTTGCATAGGAGCTTCTGGGCTGCCAGCACCACATCCTGGAGGCAATGATCCTTGGTCTGCCTAGCTGCAATCAACAGGCCTTGCTCCCAGTTGCCCTGAGCCCCCTGAACCCCATGTGGACAGCTTGAGTCCTTCTTGAGGTTCCCTCTCTGTTGCCAAAGTGGCATATAAAGAGGTCTTTGGGTAGGTGGGAATCCAGCCTGTTATGTTCCCCATCTATCTGCACTGCAAAGCTGAATGCTGCTCTTGCATACAGACAGAAGAGTTGGTGCCTGTGGGCACCAATCAGCAGGGGGAACCAGGGTCCAATTTAGGAAGATGTTTTACACATGTGCTTAACTTTAAGCAGGGTCCGCACTGGCATCACCACCTTGCTCACAGCTAGGCGCAGGATTGAACGCTTTTTTGAAGAGGGTCTAGGCTGTCTTCCTTCTACATGTCACACTTGAGTGCGTGAGATAGCACAGCATTAGCAATATGTACATCATATCTGGGCCATATCTGAGAGGCTAACGTGCTCCCCAACACAGCTGAGTCTACAGACCCATAAGTCCTGACCTGACACCCATCTGCAAGCAGACACCCCTGCCCTGGGAACAACAGCCAGAGGAAGGGCACTTGGCATCATTCCTACATCACCTGCTACCTTGCAACGGGCAGACTCTTAAAGCTTCAGCCTGGATAAAGATCCAAGGAGTTGGGTTGTTTTGCTGAAGTCCTTGTTTCTCTGGGAATCAAGTGCAAGTTGCTTGAATTTCTGGTGCTCCCTCACGTTTCCAGGTCAGGAGCACAGGAAGAATAGGATCAGAGTGCTTTTTTTGCTACAACCTGGCCATCACCAAAGCCCTGGCTGTCACCAAGGAATGGGGAGGAGCCAGAAACGAAAATGCAGCATATGTCAAACTGCTGAACTTCCAAAGAGCTGCTCAGCTCACTTGGGATGCCAGGGCACGCTGGCTCACTTGAGCCTCAGCTGGCTCATGCCAACCCCCAAGTGACATCATGGGCTCTAGCAATGCTAGAGATCCTTTTCCGATCTAAGTCAGCAGTCTGGTTTCAATGAAGTCAATGGGCATGACTCCCATTGACTTCATGGGGACCAGGATTTGGCTCTCGCAAGACATTACCTTTCTTGCGATCTCCAGAGCTTTGCTCCGTTAGCCAATGTGGCTAAAAAAATGACCCAAAGAATAGAAAACCTGTCAGCTTGAAACTAATTTTACCGCAAAGACTTATCAAAAAAAGAAGAGGAGGAAGAAATGCAACCAAGAAATAAAAAAACAACCCCAAGGGGCGTGAGCGGCGGGGGAAAGAGGATGGCAGCAAGTGAATAAGTAACAGTCACGGCATATTCCAAAAGGGCCGAAAAAGCTGTACTAGAAAAACAGATGCGTGTCAGAGTATAACAACATACACCCACGGGTCTGTTACCTAAGGAGCACTGAAGAACTGAGTCAGGGTGGAGGGGTTGGTCGCAGGCAAGCTCACACCTCTCCGAGCACATCATCCCTCGGACGATCGCTGGCGGGAGTAGGTCGCACATGCACGGTCGTGACGGTCTGGGTGCCTCGTCAGATCTCGGTGGACTCTATTCGCTCCAGCCGGGAGGGAGTCCAGGGTTTTTTGTCCTCGCTGTGAGGCGAGCTGGTCGTCTTGCTGGTCATTTCGTTCACCTTGTGCTCCAGGATCTGGTTTTTCTGGTACATCTCCACGTAGTTGAGCTGCAGCTGCTTCTGGTACTTGATCACCTTTTCCTTCTCCTCCTGCCAGGTGCGTCGCTCCTCCTCAAAGTCCACCACCTGCTGCCCCCGCTGCTGGCGCTCCAGCTTCAGCTCTGTCTGCAGCCGCTCGACCTCCTTCTTCAGGATGTTGATGCTGTCCTCGTTCTGGCGTTTCATCTTGGCCTCGTCGCTCTCGCAGGCCAGCGGGTCCTGGAGCTTCTCACTGAGTTCAGGGGGGAAAGGCCCTGGGTGGCCCATGCTGGCCAGCGTCTGCTTGAGGCCGGAGACCCTGAGTTCACAGTGGTTCAGCTTTTCCCTTAGCATCTGCACCTCGTTCATCTTCCTCTGGAGCTCGTTCTCGCAGATCTCCAGGTTGACGCTCTTGGAGCTGTAGGAGTCCTTCAGGGTGAGGATCTGCTCTTCCTTCTCCCGCAGGAAGTTCTTCCCTTCCTTGAGCTGTGTCCGCAGTCCCACGATCTCGTTTAGCTTCTGGGACACGTCCGCTTGGGAGTCCTTCAGCTGCTGCTTCAGCAGGGAGATCTCGCCAGCCTTCTGGCACACCTGAAAGAGCAGGCAGGGGACACGGTGAGATCACAACACGGGGACTTAGCATGGTGAATCGGGGGCAGAGTCCTTCCCCCGTTACGCTGGCCATATGCTCACAAAACCCTGTAGAAATTGATGGACTTCCACTGCATAAGACCCTTGTCATGAAGGGGAGACTAGTGATTCTCAACCAGGATGCTGCGGCACCCTGAGGTGCCTTGAGACCCTTTCAAAGGGGTGCCACACAATGCTAGCACTATTAGGTGGGCAAACATGACTCACAAGAGAAAGCCAGAGATTTCAAAGAGGAACCCAGGGTGTTAAAAATCATTCTGTCCTGACGTGGGCTTGCTGAGTTGTTTGCAACAGAACAATTTTTCTGTTAGTTTTCTGTAGTTGAATAAATTTTTACTTTACAGTGAGGGCTGCCAGGGTCTGGACTGGGCTCCCAAGGGAGGTGGTGCTCTCTCCTACCTTGGGGGTCTTCAAGAGGAGGCTGAACAGATATTTGGCTGGGGTGATATGATCCCGGCACCCATTCCTGCCTGGGGCAGTGGGTCGGACCTGATGATCTGTTTAGGTCCCTTCCGACCCTAAGTACTATGATACTAAATGAGTAGCATTTTTCTGAGGGTGTCCTTGAGCCTATCAAGTGGTGTCTTGGGCCTGAAAAGTTGGCGAACTCCTGCCTTTGATGCTTGCCTAGCTCTGTCCTGTTGACAAGGCCAGAAGAGCCTTTATTTTCTGGGAGGGTCTTGCATTAACCAGCCAAACTAAAATGCTATCCAAGGGCCTGATCCCAAACCCACTGAAATCAATGAGGGCTTTCTCCACTGACTTCAGCAGGCTATAGATCAGGCTCTAAATATGCCAACAGCAGTGTCATCTCAGAACTAAAATGCATTTGGCCTTTTTGCCCTGTGGCTATTCTCTCTGGCTGGAGGGGACAGGACTAGGGGCAACGGCCTCAAGCTGTCACAGGGGAAAATTAGGTTGCAGATGAGGAGGAACTTTCTGCCTATTCGGGTGGTCAGGCATTGGAACAGGTGCCTAGGGAAGCTGGG